AAGGCAGCCGCATTGAATTACCCCATACAAGTATGAGTCAGAGGTCAATCCCGTGTCACTAGCTCTACATACCCCAACCCATGTGACAAGGAAACCCTGCATCTCCCACCAGCACCTCTACCAGGGAAGAAATGGCCTGACCGGAACCTATAAACCATCCAGGAAAACAGGCCTCCATTCTCCTAGGACAGTATCAGGTGGGGACCCAGCAGTGTCATGTTCTCACCCACCATGCTCAACTCTGTGCAACACTGTACAACAAAGGCTATAATGCCACACTATCCTGGTGTATACACATATATCAGAGTCCCTAGTGTAAGATGTATTGATATGCATAAACAATCGTATATCCTTGAACAGAAAATATAATAAATAATTTGTATAAATGAGTTGAGTTTGGTTTTGGGGTGTCTGATTCAGACTTTGAAAAGGTTTATCTCATTCTGGTGGTGAGAAGTTGAAATGCTTTTAAGGGGAAAGGATTTCGAGGATGTTTTGAGGTGCCAATTGGGGAAGGGTAAGACATTATCACCAGACCCAAAGGAACCCCTTCTTGCTTGTCCTTCATCAGCTATCATTTCATCACATAGATAATTATTTTGAGGTCCTCTCAACATAATAGTGTTTCCTTCTTTACCAAATATCAGTTTTCCATCTTTACCAAATATCAGTTTTCCTTCTTCACTAAATATCCCCCTTTACCCAATATCAGTTTTCCTTCTTTACCAAATATCAGTTTTCTTTCTTTACCCAATATCAGTTTTCCTTCTTTACCAAATATCAGTTTTCTTTCTTTACCCAATATCAGTTTTCCTTCTTTACCAAATATTGGTTTTCTTTCTTTACCAAATGTCAGTTTTCCTTCTGTACTTAATATCAGTCTTCTTCCCTAAGGTCCAGTTCTGCGCAACTATTATTCACACAGTGTGACATAGCATACTGCCTTGTACGTTACATTTGAGAACTGCCACATTACATAGTTGAACCCGGCACTGACACAGGCTGCTGTACAGTAAATATGACACGACCACGAGCCAGTGATCAATCCATGAGATTGATTCTAAAGCTAATGTATTTACTTCATAACAATTGCCGATGGGAGCCTTTGTGTTTGACTACACTCAGCTGTTGCCCAAAGATGGTGAATAATATCATTGTGGACATTTTTCATTAACAGATTATTAATCAATACAATAATTCATTTTACACAAAGGTTACCTATAAAAGAAATTCAACAAATTCAAATTCAATGATTCCATATTGTGCATTTGATGAAGCCTGAACTCTGGTGATCCCAATTCCAAACCAACCATGTCAAGTCTGATGCAACCAGATTAAGTTCACAATGACAGATGTACGCATTACAGGATTAACTGCTTTCATTTATGATGGTTAAGATCTGCACCCTTTTACAATCATATGAAATTTATAAGGTATGACTTATAGCTCAGATGCTCTTGTCATCACTACAGATGAAGAAGTAACGTTTTTGCTTGGCTGTCATCCTGTCCAAATATTTAAGAGGCAATAACAAAATCAAAATGGCGTTTGTTACAAGATTCATCAATCTTACTAAATATTAACTGAACCTTCCTAGTTATCCTTTATGGAAACAGTGCAACATCCTTTGACATCCAATGACAAACAGGGACAATTTCTTACTAAAAAATGAATGAATCACCATAATTTCTTTCCAGTGATTCATTCAAGTTTGCAAACCTACTTCAATCTTGATTTCAAACTCTACGCCTATATTTATTTACATTCCATAAGCCTACAGCAAAAATAATCCTGATAACAAAAGTGATATACATTGGGTCCATAGACCTAGAAACACAACTGCAGTGCACCCTGCTTGTACCTGATAGGACCTGCTGTTCTGTAGTCAGTTATGAAACAGTGAGAAGATAACTTACTTGAGCCCCCATCGCTGGAAAGCATACATCACCATTTGTTCAGTATGCAGAAGGGAGAAATAGAGTGGCTAGTCATTACAACAATCAGCTCATCTCTTTTCAAGAATATTAAACGATATCCATATTCCTCATCTTCTCGAAAAACTGATCTGTATGGCCATCAAGAAAGTTCACGTCTGCTAATCCCATGATATTCTCTGACAGGTAACAATCCCGCGTCTGCTCCACAAACGAAAGGAGGGAAACTGACTCTCAGAAGTTCTCGAACTCTCAGGCAGGGTCTGTGACAGAAGTGAACGCTGGTCGTTGCAGTAGAGTTAGGTAACTGATACCACTGCTAATCCCGGCTTGCAAGTCAACTACTACCAATGACATCCCTGTTACTGCATCAGAGACAGAAGGAGCAGGGCAACATGCTACCTGGGAGAGGCCATCAGGTGCATAGGGGAGACAGGTGAGCAGGCCGATCCAATTACATATTCAGAAATTGATACCTGGTTGCTAAAGATATGTCTTTTCCCCAAAGCTAATAATCGCCTCTGATGACTAATATGTGTTGGAGTGTTCGTGAAAGGACCGATGCACTTTTTAAAGTTTACCCACAGCAGGCACCCAACACCCCTCCAAACAAACGTGGCATGCTGTGAGAAAAGAAAGTGTTTGCTCTACTGCTTGTATCAGAAGGGGAGGTTGAGATAGACTTTCCAATTACTCTGACAAACTGACAAACTTGTGAATGTTGTCACAGGCCAATCAGGCATCCACTTAGCCTGGCTGGAAACTCCTGCACCACAACATGTGGGGGTGAACTGGGTGATGTACTGCAATCTAAATAAAGATTATGATAGTACCTTGGATGTAGTGCTAGTGAGAGCAGCTGGTTAAAGCAATGGTTGTGTCATATTTACACAGCCAATGAATCAACATCAGCGACCGGCCGACACACACCCCATCCTGCTCACAATATTGCCCTTGACTACATGCTCAATATTTCCTTATTACATCTCACAAACTGCCCCTCCCAATTTAACATCAACTCTCCCTATCTCTCACATGCCACCACCTCTGGGCTTGCTGTTCACTTACAATCACAGAGATAATGTTACACTTGCAGCAATCCAGCAGGATTTGCCTCCCTTGACTCAGTGTGCTTAGTTCTTCCCATGTTTTGTCCAGTCTATCTCACAGTCCCTGAACCACATTATTTTCCCTTATGCCTACGCTTTTCCGCAATACTTAAGCCCTTAATGAAGAAAGAAAGATTTCCTTAGGTTCAGGATTCTGAATCACCATCCTCACTGGGGGTCCTTTTCAATTTAAATGGGGTTATTTGTTTCCATCAAAATTACATAAATTCAGACACTAAGCATTAGTCTACACTTTGTCATGGACTGACATTTAGTCCCAGAAATAGAGTTATCTCATTTGAAAATATATGTCTACAAAACAACAATAAACTCCTGAAGGACACCAGAAAAATTCTGAATTTCAAAGATTTTCAGAATTTTCACCTTAAGGGCTGAGGCAACCCAAACTTGTAGATTCAAGACTTAAGTTGGATGCTTTCTATTATTTATTCTGTAGGGTCTGGTAACTTTGTTAAAATCCAAGACAGTGGGCATGATACTGACCCAGCAAGGCACGATAATCAGCAGATACTTGGAGCTAAGGGAGGGAATAATGTCACCCAATACACCTTTATCATAGGATTAGATCAACCATAGTTTATCAGGGGTGGAAATAAGTTTAAAATTGCTAGTGTACTCCGGTACAGTGGCACATGTAAAATCACTTGCCCTGATAATTTTTCCACTATACCGGACGTTTTCTTGTTGATTTTTTAAATAAACAACATATTTAACATTGGAAAGTCAACTGGACACTGGTACAGTGTGATATACAAATTTGCTTGCCCAACAGAAAAAAACACTGGACTCGGACGTTGGGCAATGGGTTATTTCCACCCCTGTTTATTGGGAAGTACTTCAAATTTTAGTATATTAAATGAGGTTCCTGTTTCACATCAAGTCCATGTCCAATGTGGAATATGTTTTTTCCTGTTATAATCTTTAGCATGGGAGAAATCTATTTTCATGAAGGACATTCACTATTATATGAAATATGCATGTAACGGATGAAATGTTTAAGTATCAATGCAAATGCATCAACTGTACAGACTTTTTAAATAAATACACCAACATCAGATATCTTGATTACATTTGACAGTTTAGAATGAATCGAGTAGTACCAAAGCTTAATGTTAGCATGTCAACCATCACATCGTTTTCAAGTGTTGTGTCACGTTTTCATTAAATGTCATTGTTTACATAGGAACATGCTGGCAATGATCATCAGCTTGATACATATGGGTTTACATCGTTGTGTGAGACTTACATAATCCATACAAATCTATATAACTCAAAACAGACAAGGACCACTCAATATTTTCAAGTCACTACAGTCCATCTTCTGTGCCATGAGAAATCTACTAAGATATTAATATGAAAGAATGGAGTGGTCCAAAACATTTTAGTTGTATAAAAGTTTTAAAGTTGCTGTATGTTCAGTCATTTCATCACTGAATCTGGTTAATTAGAATACGTCATGATTTTGTCAATCTAAATTCAAGTGTGTGGGAACTGTATGGCAAATTAGCAGCGGCATGTCAAACACTTATGAGTATTTCTGGTCTGAAACATTTACCACTTAGTTGCTTCCCATGAGCACTGTCATAGTGCTGACAAGTCAAGGAAAATCATAATAAATGACGGAAAATCAAGGATTCAAATCCTTCACAAGCTGGGAAGGGTTGGCACCTGTAGCCTACACCATTTCTCCCCTTCTGTATTTCTTTTAGTAACAACTGATACACAATTGACTGTACAAAGTCCAAAATTTGGTGTATATTTATTTGTACAATTGTACTCTGTCTGTTTACAAAAATCATTGATCATTTAAGTTTGAATGCTAGTTTTATGAAACAGAATGAAGTGGACATTTATGGTTTAATTGTTCAGTAAATAAGCATCTTCTTTGGATAATGTATAAAATATATAATGTTTGAAATTAACGAAACCGACTTACCCATCATGCATTTCTTCTTCCTCTTCTTTGCTCAGAAGATCTGGAGGAGGGGGAGGTAACTCTTCACTATCAGAAGTGATCTCAGATTCTGTAATTTTCGGTGGTGATGGTGGAGGTATGTCTGACAGAGTTCTCTCCCTTGAATTCTTGGATGATGGCACTGTGGCCTGCTGGGCTGGAGCTGAGTTTTCCTTGTTGCTCTCCTCAACCAAGTTTCTGATGTCCACCGCTGAATGTTCCTTCAATGGTGATGTTGCTTCCTGAGCCAGCAAGGGATCTCGTTTTATTGTTGTTGGGTAGTTGATTGTTGGTTTTGTGTACTGAATAGACATTGGCTGAGCTGACATCCTTCGTCTTGATTCCATTCGCAGTTTCTCGATGTAAGCATCTTCTCTTGGAGAATTTTCAAACTGTCGTTTCAAGTCACCAAAATCCCTCTTTGATCTGTCGATGTTTTCATCCTCTTTCTGCGAGAGGTCTTGATCCGCGGTTGCTGATCGTTTACTAAGCACGCGGCCCTCGGAGTGCCGTCTGTAGTTTCTAGGTGGCAAGGCAGGTGGCTGCTCGACTGGACTCGGTGACCGTGGCGGCGGGGGAGGAGGTGGTCGCCGGGTGGAGAACAGATTCTGATATGTTGGTGACACAGTGAGTCCGGAGTCCATGCTAGCACTGAAACAAACAAACACAATCATCAGCTAATATAATCACTTGTCTGCCTGGTACACTTACATATAGTCATATTTAGTATGACTGTTGCTGAAAAAAACATGCATGGTATTATTGGGATAATATATATATGTAAACGCTCTTCATCATTACAGCTTCAGTGGACTTTGTACAAAGTAAGTGGGTGGGTGTTATGAGAGGTAAACTACACATAAGGGTACACAGACCTATTATCCGTCAGGTCACTAAGCCTAACTATCCGACCCATTTATTCATGTCCAGACCATCAGCCATTGCTGGGGACCACTTTTGCCCTGGAGTCCAGTTGAGTCTGAGGGTGTCATACATTAAAATACTTTTTTTTTAAATTCATTCTTTTAGAAAACAACACATGTTAAAGAAGAAAAAAGAAATTTTCAGATGAAGATAATATATTTAAAAAGAGCCAGGAGACTTCCTAAATGTTCAGACCTGATACTGCAGTCATTTTGACTTCCAGAATTTGATGGACTTGCAACAGCTCCATTCTATATATTTGTTTAAGGTTTTGTATTACAGACAATCTGATAACATAATTCTATTCAGACTTTATGATTACAATTTTATTTTTTGTTTACAAATAATCACACACAATAACTCACAATTTAATCAGAAACACTCACTGTATATTTTAATACCTCCTTATAGTTGCTGAATAAGTTACAAAGCACATTGACCTCGCATCACTGATGAACCTGGAAGTTTTTGAAGCACTCATAAAATAACCAAGTTCTGAGACAAAGGGACACAACTCCGTCAGTTCTATCAGACCTAAGACTCCCTCACCTGAAACCAACAGCCTGAGGTATTTCCAAGCTACACATGACTGGCAGCTAGTCATGCACACTGGTGTAACTACTGGATGGTGGGTCCCCAGCTGACAGTAGAAACTGATACTGTACAGAGACAGAGACAAGTCACACTGACACTCGGTACAGCAACCCGACTGCCTGTGATTCAGCAAGGAAACAGGTGGTACGCCTGTATCCTGTTCAGTGACATCATCTTCGTCTTTGATGTAAATGTGTAGGTGGACTACCACATTAGGCTTTTCACATCCTACACCATTTATAATTGTTAAGTAGGTCACAAGAATGACACCAGGAGACAGACCTGTGACCCACATTCATTCAGGAAAAGGGTTGGTGTGTATAATTATCAGCCATTGTGAAACAAAATGTGACTGAAGTAATATATATAAAAAAGGATGTGTTTCTATAAGTTCTAAATAAGACCTTTTGATAAACTTTATGCTATAAAGAGAAGATGGTAAATATTATTTTCTACCTTATTGAGAGAGATTGTTCGTGATAATTTAAGTTGAAAAGACTTGATTATTAATCCAGATCACCATGAATATTGACAAAGTTCTCACATATTTTCTCACAATTTCAGGATTTAGAGTGGATGATACAAAAACAAATTCTCTATACCACTGACAGAACAAGTAGGTTCATCTCTCAAAAGTGACAAACTTAACACTTTCTTTACTGAGCAGTCTACTTCTCCAAGCACTAACCACTCCACACACCTGTCAAATCCCTAATCCCCCTTGACCGACACTAATTGACCCCATTCGGCCATCCGCACTCACCGTTCTCTGTGACTGTGTTAATAGCAACAAATCAACATGTTTGACCACAGCTCGAGAAGCTTGTACACACTCTTAACCACAAAGACACACCACTGCCAAAATATTGAGGCTGGTATTTCTAAGCCAGTATCACAAACTGGTAGTAGTGATATCAAGGAATATGGCTTCACAATTCAATACCCAAGTTTTGACATCTGCCCTGAATCTATATATACTTCTTAAGTAACAAGTAAGTTGGTTCAGTTTTCAGTAACTTTTAGTGACATTCTTGCAGCTTTAAGGTAAGGGACATTTGAAATGGGCTTTACACAGTGTACCCATGCAGGAAATCAAACTTTGCCTTCAGTGAGCCAATTCTTTAACAACGAAACCCATAAAGACCTAAGTTAGAATTGATCTTCAGTAACCCACGCTTGTCATAAGAGGCGACTAAGGGGATCAGTTGGTCAGGCTCGCTGACTTGGTTAACACATGTCATCGTATCCCAATTGTGTAGATCGATGCTCACGCTGTCGATCACTGGATTTTGTGCTCCAGACTTGATTATTTACAGACCGCCGCCATATAGCTGAAATATTGCTGAGTGTGGCGTAAAACAACCAACCAACCAACCACCCAGTCTTTAACAACCAGGCTATTCCATGACCCCCTGAATATTAATCTGGGTAGGGGAGTATCCCTGTCGATGTTAAACTGTCAACTCTGGATAACAAAATGCTGGATACAACTCACAACATGGACAAAACAAGGAAGGTCCAATATTTTATATTCACTCACTGATCTTTTGGATATTGTAAAAGTGTCACAAAACAATACTCAATCTGCAAATAGAGCCTTCTCCTTTGCCAGCCCTCAACTGTGAAACTGTCTTCCAAAGCAAATCAGGAAAACTTAATTGAAAGAACTTTGAAATCTCTGCTAAAGATCCATTTGTTCACTGCTGCCTTTCTGTAAAAGTTATATGAGCTATTTCCTTTCCCAATGATCACAGCACCACTGAGCATCTCTACGGTGGATATTAAGCGCTTTATAAGTACATTATTATTGTTTATTATAATCTCACGGAGTGAGGCCATCATGATACAAAAAGTAACCAACTGAGAAGATCTGTATTATTTTTTAAATTAATTAATGTGGAAAACCTCAACCAACAACATTCATAAAAATATTTATCACACAAACAATGTCGACAGATGTCATTAAGATTTGTATGAAAGGAGCAATACCGTATATAGTCGAAAATATTTCACCTGCTCTGTTATTTGCTCAGCATGTCCCCAGTGTCAATCATTCAAATGACCACTTGAAACTGCCTAACCTATGACAATCACTCAGTCGACAAATTCAACTTAATAGGGTCAGCCAATAGTATTGTTGCCCTTGATAAGGTCTGACCGACATATCGCAACAACAAAGGCTGTGTAATTCATGAGACACATATCTTGAGTGGATCTTAGTTGAATAGCCACTCATACAACTGGCAATATTTGCCTGATAGAGTTGATGACCTTTGGTCAAGTGACACATGGAAAATGCCTGTCAGTGGCACTGAAATTCTGTATAATCAACCATCATGTAGCCAGCATGTGAAAAACTTCAGTCCATTCAGTGCAAACCAACCAAAACTGAATGAGTGAATCATCATTTCAAACAGTATTCCGGTTATATCATGACATCTCAGCTGTTTCACTGGCTGTTTCAGTATTTGCCACTTTGGCATGGGTTTGGTGTTGACAAACCTAGAAACAAAGGAGGACTTGAACCTGTGATCATTGGTTTCAGGCATGTCCAAGGGATGTAACTCTGCCCCGTGAATTGAAGCATCTTTATGACTGGGCCACAAGTGAGTAAGTGAGTTTAGTTTTATGCTGCACTCAGCAACATTCCAGCTATATGGCGGCGGTCTGTAAATAATCAAGTCTGGGCCAGACAATCCAGTGATCAACATGAGCATGAGCATCGATCTGCACAATTTGTCAACCAAGCCAGCGAGCCTCACAGACCACCCAATCCCGTTAGTCGCCTCTTACGACAAGCATGGGTTACTGAAGGTTCATTCTAACCCGGATCTTCACGGGTACTGGGCCACCAGTACCCTGGATACTTAATGCACAACTCCTGTAGGATGATGACACCACCTGCATGTGTACTGTACTCTATCAGTCACTTGAGTACATATGCCACAGTTTAACTAACTGATCTCATTTTCCACAAAGCAAAGCCACCACTATTATTCCCTATTATCACAAAACTATTACCCACATTCCTTAGACATTCACTTATACATTAAAACATAATTCCTTGACAGAATGAATATGAAACAAATCAATGAATGAATTTTCTTTTATCCCACAGTCAGCAATATTTCAGAATAATATAACCTCAGCTTGCCAATCAGCATAAGCAACAATCAGTATCTAGTTTGGATGACACACACATCAGCCATTAAATAAAAGATGACCATCTAATCCTCACTCAAGTTCATACAGAGAGCAGGGGACCTGTTCTAACCTGGGTAGAAGGTAATGTAAGTAACATTCATCACTGTGCAAATTATTGGTGCCCTTTCCTCCAGACCAATGTAAGAACTATTCATCACTGTGCAATGGTGCCCCTTGCCTCGAGACCAACAGCCAATGTAAGAAATATTCATCATGGTGAAGTAGTGCCCCATGCCTATAGACCTAAGTAATATTCATCATTGTCAAGTAGTGCCCCATGCCTATAGACCTAAGTAATATTCATCATTGTCAAGTAGTGCCCCTTGCCTTGAGACCAACAGCCAATGTAAGAAATATTCATCATTGTCAAGTAGTGCTCCATGCCTATAGACGTAAGTAATATTCATCATTGTCAAGTAGTGCCCCTTGCCCCCAGACCAACAGCCAATGTAAGAAATATTCATCATTGTCAAATAGAGCCCCATGCCTATAGACGTAAGAAATATTCATCGTTGTCAAGTAGTGCCCTATGCCTATAGATGTAAGTAATATTCATCATTGTCAAGTAGTGCCCCTTGCCCCCAGACCAACAGCCAATGGTGGTTGTTGAACCTGACACTTACCAAGAAGGAGTGCAAGCTGAAATACACCTGACAATTAACGGATGATTTAGACAGACCCTGGGGTCAATGTCTGGTATACACTCAAACCACCAGGATAACTGGCATACCTCACTCCACTCAGAGCAGGTGCTTGACTCTACACATATGGACTCAGTTGAAGGCAATTACTAAATGATACACTTGAATTGACAATGAACATATCAGAATCGACAAGCAATATTGCCCAAAATGTATCAAATATGGGCTCACTGTCTAGCTCCCCAAGACCACTTACCAGACTCAGTGTTTATGAGCTCTAATCACCTT